GGGGTTCCGCGCCGCCAAGGGCTTGATGGGCGCCAAAGGCGACCGCAGGCCCAGCCTTCAGTCGGCTTGCCGTTGGGTCGGCTGGGGTCTCAAAAATCGGCGCGGGAGACGGTTGGGGGAATTGGAGCAGAGGCGGTTGGGGGGATGGGGGGGGGGGGGCCGCGGTTTCTCTTGCTGGTGCTCAGTATAGAAGGAGGGGGTCCGCTAAAAGAATCGGGCACACGTCTTTGCCTAAACCAACCTGAAAAGGACTGCGGTAGCCTGGGGAGTACACGTAAAAGCTTTGGGTCAGGTCTTAGGATCTTGGTGATGTACAGAGTTACCTTGAACTTCCTTTCTACCGGATTTGTTTGGCTTGGCTCTTCGGCTGCAAAAAACGCAATCACCTTGCATCAAATGGTCTGAAGCCAATGCACCTACCAGTGTTTGCAGAGCTTGGCGCGACACAGACATCAGCGACATCACCAGTATTCTCACAGCATGGCCACTTGGACTGAGCCATGCTACTTGAAGCCGCCCCTCGCAACTAGCCGTTCCTCCGGCTGCAGCATCCCTATAGCTTGCAGGGCCGGTTCGGTGCGTTCGTTCCCCAAAGCTCCGGGCAGTTCCAGCGCTCCCGCAGCAGCCTGCAAGCGCCAGGGCTCCGGGGAACACGGCGATGGAAGCGGGTTAGCCCCACCTGCCGCACCATGTCGATGGGGTCGTTCAACATTGCGTTCACCTGCGGATTAAAACCCGACCCTTCTCGATCTATCCATGTGTGTGGCAAAAAAAAGGAAACCAAAAGTCAAAAAACACTCCCCCCCCCCGCCTCCCCCCCCCCGCCTCCGCCCCCCCCCAAACCCCTCAGCCCCAGCCCACCATTTTTAGCAATTTTTGGGGGGTCCCCCGCCCGCCCCTCCGAACTCTCCCGCTTCAAGCTGCCTCCTCCTCGAAACTGCGGCCGGCGGCGCCCAGAGCGCCCAGGCCCGCCACCGCAGCCGCCCTGATTGTTGGCTCCGTGGTCAAAACCCACTGGACCCAACGCGGGTCGACACCAAAACCCTCCGTTTCCTCCCATGGCAGTGGGGTTCCTCGTCATTTCCCTACCAAGCCCCGTTTTCTGCACAGGAAAAAGACAAGCCTTTCTACATAGAAAGATAAAAGCAGCACTTCCATGTTGGGAGGGTGGTTTTGTTCCTTTTTTTGGCGTGGTTCTGTGGTTTGTCTTGGGGGTTCCCTTTCAAACCCACCAAAGACGGGGCTGAAGGGCCGGTTTCTGTTGCCTCCGGTTTTCCTCCAAATGGACAAGGGGTGGTTGGTTCCCCCTCAAACTGCCTGGTTTTGCTGCTTCTCAAAATGGACGAGCGCCGAGCGCCCTTGGTCGGTAGGGAAGCAGATATGCGTCTTGTTTTAGGGGACGCCCCAACATGGATGGTTGTCATGTGGTTTTCCTTGCGGTTTCCCAGATTCAAACCACCAAAACCGGGTAACTACTGCGCAAAGATCCGCGGAACGCTCTCAACACGAAGGCGCCTCACTTCGGGACTGCCATCCATGAGCAGTGTGGCCACCACCCCAGCGTAGTTGGGTCCCAGTCGCTCGTGTCGTGCCAGGCACCTCACCTCAGCTTGTGGCATTTGAGGCAAAAAGGTCCTCACAACAAGGGGCCACTCTAATTGGGGAGCCGTTGACTTTAGCCGGGAGTTCCCAACCCGAACCATTTGTTCTCTTTGGGATTCAAGAATGCGCGACTCAGGGCCGCACAGCAGCTGCACGGACCTGGAAACTGAAGCGCCAAAAAGTGTTCTCTCAGTTTTTAGGAGCCTGGAAACCAAAGGTGATCACCTTCTTGGGACCTCTAGAAGTGGAAACCCAAAGGGTTAAAAGGTTGATTCGCCTTGAACTGAGTCTTCTGTCAAGCGAGCAGCTTCAAAGTCCTGAAGATGACCCGTGAGATCCACGTGAGAAATCGAGGCCATGTGCTCTCTCTCTCTCTCTCGCGTGCGCCTCCGGCTGCTCATCGGTGATGGCTTTGAAGACTTCGTGGCCTTACTGTCCAGTGCTTCCCGGTTCCAAAGTGACATCCTCAACCCTCGAAACCACCGGGACCCAAAAGAACTGTCTCTTCTTTTTGAGGTTCCCTCAAAATGGCAGTTGGGTTTTCCTCGTTCCCGAAAGGAAATCAGGCAAATAAGAACCTGTTGGCGTCCCAAATGAAAGTCGCACCATGCCTCATGGACCCAACCTCTGGTTTTCAGATCGGCGGCCTGGGGGCCCCGGGCAGTACTCCTCAGCTTCCCGCACCAACTCCGCAGCCGCGTTCAGCGCGCTACACCTGGCATCCCCAAAGGAACACGAAGCAACCGGGGCGGGCTGCCTGGAGATCCCAAATGGTTGCACTCCCTCGGGCAAACACGAAAGCTCCCACCTCTGCAAATGGAACCAAGTCTTCCACGGGGGTCCGCTCGGTAGCTTGCATGGGGGAGGGTACGGGTCGAAATTAGTTAGTTACCAGCAG